TAAACATCTGTTGGGGATGGCTTGTTTTGAAGATCATACACAGTAGTTTATACCAAAACGTGGAGAGACAAGTATAGTGCGACTACTGATATACTGAATGTACATTGAGTTTCTGAAGCCGTGCCTTGGAAACGTTGACTCATTCCCAAGCATAGATCAGGATATTAAATATCAACTTCAGATGCATTAAAAAAAAAAGACATTCACACACAATAAAATGTTTGTCTTCTGAGAGGAATAAAAAGCTAATGCACTGCTGTATAAACATTTCTTTTGAAGGTCTTATTTTCTTTTGTGAGTCACTAAAGAGGCATGGCACCAAATCAATCTGTAGATCCACGAAACAGCCTCTGGACCTTGACAATGAACGGCAACCCATGACACATGGGCGTTATCTGCATTTTGGGTTATCTCATTGAAATTCAAACAAAGTCGGACACACAGAAACAGAGTTTATCTGCCTTCTTTCATTGTTTCGTCTCATAATCATGTGACTTTTGGCAACAACAACTTTAGTCGAGCAACAAGTTTATATGCTTGTTTTGGTAACTTTGTACCATAACACAACACTAAATTATTATAACTGAATATGTCTTGATTATTATTAAGTCTACTTAATATTTACAGTTTTTAAATAATAAAAAAGGTAATTCTACAGTTATGTGAAAATATTTATAGTGCACATTGATCCAAACAATATTAGAGCTATTTTTAGTAAAACAGCTACAATTATCATTATTAGATAATAACAATTGTTTTAATGTGTTTTTTGTTATCCTTTGATGACTAACTCTGTGATGAATACATGTGTAAAGGACAGGACTTTGTAATCTTTACAGCCAAACAATGAGATGCTTTTTCTGTTAGCTTTTTCTTTAAACAAAATGTGTAGTACTATAAACTTGCTCTATTTTTTTAAACACCATTTTATTTGGCAAATAAGTTATTAAAAGTTGAATAAAATGTTTCATATTACAAAATTATATACATATATATATATATATATATATATGTATATTAAAAAATATATACAGTATATAAATATATACAGTATATATATATATATATATACAGTTTATATATATATGCACACAC